AGTGTCCCAACTTCAACATGCGACATTTTGTATGGTATGTAGCAATCGTGTAGCAGATATTATAGATTTATAATCGGGGATAAGGTACGTCAATAAGAGCATGAACGAGAACAAGACAATATTAAAGGACGGGAATGAAGAGTTGAACGGAGTTCGATAATGTTATTACATAACACTATTGAATCATTTAGTAATACTCAACCACATACACGCGCACCATATCGCACACCCATGTATATAATCTGACTGGCAAAAGATAGTAACACATAATCTTGAAAATTGAATTTGACAAAAAAATGTTATTTAAAGGTTCCGCAGCTGAAACAGTCGCCTAAACACTACATCCATTAAGTCAAAAACCCAGCTATGACACTCGTATCAAATTCGCCGCCGTCGAATTGCAATTTCTTGTTTGTTTCATGTTCAGCCACCATTAATAGGGTTTACCTTCTTTTGCTCTGCAGTGTATGTCTTAAATGCTTCTCCTACCTTTGATAGTGGTTGTTTTTCACTCATTTTGGTGGTCTCCTGGTATATTCCAACATTAAAACAGATTGACAACGTCCATAATATCCAACCACCAAATCCACTGTATGCGGTAGTGCTGTGACGCGCTATATATAACACCATTCATATGTCACGCCGACACCACATATAGTCACATACGTAAATGCGTTATTATATTATATTTCTTTTATACATAAAGGCTGCCCTCATAAATCATAACATTTGCAATAACTACTGACAGCGTCTTTGCCGTTTCTAACAGCAAATGTCATTGAATAGATCAACATTCTGCGTCTTTTCAATACGCGTATAGACTAAACACAACACATTTCATTACAAACGAGGTAGAAAGCCCCACGGTCAACACAAAGGGAAGAGTAGTGTTATTCAAGCAATAAAGTAGAGTCTTTGTGGGAGGATAAATTGTGTTATTGTGTTGAATTGGGTTGTGGCTTCAGGTTTTCTCGTCCGTAGATAGGAAGACAGTTACACGGGATCACTTGCGGTGGTAAATTGCTGGGGGCCTGTGTGGCGTGTTGTTAGGTCCACCATAGGCCGTGAAGAGTTGTTCCCCTTAGTACCGAGATCAGACTGCTCAAAGTGGCTCGTCCCGATTAGGAGGAACATTGTTGGACTGTCAAACATGTGCTCGCCGGTTTCGCCAATGTGTCTTTCCTCCCGCATTATGTATGTAGTAAGTTGTAGATTATGTTTAGGTAACACATTACCGTTTCCATTTGATAGTCTTGCTTGTTTTTTTGTTTAACGCCGCACTCCACAATATTCCATCTACATTGTATTGGACAGCGGTCGTAAGATAACGTAGTCTGACCCAGCCAATCCAGTGATTCACATCTGGAACATCGATCCACGCAACAGCGATACCATGACGTGAACGTCAACCATTTCACCAAGCCTGTTCACCCGCTCCCGTTAGTCGCCTCCATGCTGGGTATTTATTAATCCCTACGGGTGTACTACTTCTACTACTACTACTACTACTACTACTACTACTACTACTACTACTACTACTACTACCACCACCACCACCACCACCACCACCACCACCACCACCACCACTACTACTACTACTACTACTACTCCTTCTACTACTGCCACTACTACTACTACTACTACTACCACCACCATCACCACTACGACCACCACCACTACTACTACTACCACTACTACCACTACTACTACTACTACTACTACTCCTTCTACTACTGCCACTACTACTACTTCTACTACCACTACTACTACCACTACCACCACTACCACCACCACCACTACTACTACTACTACCACTACTACTACTACTACTACTAGTACTACTGCTACTACTACCACTACTACTACCACTACCACTACTACTACTTCTACTACTACTACTACTACCACTACTACTACCACTACCACTACCACTATCACTACCACTACTACTACTACTACTACTACAACTACCACTACCACCACTACCACTACTACTACTACTACTATTACTACCACCACTACTACTGCAGTTTCAAAGTGTCAACACGGAACATGCTTTTTTTCCAGCAGAAACGGTGTTTCACCTTGATTGTTACAATAAAGGATTTGAACTAATAGAATGAGAATATTTATCCAATACTGACAAGATGATATACTTTGTGCTTGGAGCATGGGAGGAGATCGATGTGATACATATTGTCTCCACAGGAATAGAAATCCCCTCCCGATGGTCACAAGAGTACTTACGCACAAAATGTACGTGTGAAGGTAGTTTTTTTTATATATAGGATACAAACGTACTGTTTTCAATGTAGAGCTAGGTTACCTGTAAATTTAACTGCGCTAAACTGAATTTGGAACCGAACGTTTATCTCGATTCTTCCATGACTATACACAACGCGAACAATTTGGTGTTGGCAAATATACTGAGTGAAGCGTCATGGATTGAGTCGAGTGTTTTGAGTGGGTTGTGGTTCTGAAATACGGAATCACCGACAACAGCCTGTAAAACAAAATATGGCGCTGTATATACCCAAGCAGTTTGTTTACACCGTAATACGCTAAATTCAAAGCTCTCTGTTGTCCCCGAAACTTAAAATACATTCTCTTTGTAGATTTCTATCGTGTTTTCTGCACGAAATATATTGCCAAACATCCTTTGAATATTGTAGTAACCGCAAATTTTGTAACTTGTAATTGTAGATTTAATTATTGAAACATGCCATCCGACATTCTATGAATATTAGCTTCCGTGGTGATGCGGCCGTCAAATCAGCTATTTCAGTCAGAGGGGGTTTATTGTCAATTAATAGCCTCTGATTGAGAAATCAGAATCTATTAATTTCCAAATTCATGGTAGAAAAACGCTAAGCGCCAGACAGAAGTACCATCTTTCAAAGTCTCTGGGTATGACGCGGCTGGGGATCAAACCCGGGATCTTCCGCTCTACCACAAGACCACGCGTACGGAGGCGGTCGGTGATAAAGACTAAATCCGGCGATAATCAACCAAGATCATGATTTATTCTTGGCAATGCTTGTGATACTGTTGAGATATGTCAAACAAGTGCGTTCTATGAACACAATGATATCGGAGGAAGAAGAATAGAGTGCGGAAGTAAATCATATACATGTAGTTGCCTTGTGTTATATTAACAGGGGCATTTCTAAATAGAGTACACAAAATATGAACATTTACATTGCATTCGAACATTCGATCTCTACCCAACGGTAGCAAACTCGGACAAATGAATTTGACATAGGCAATTGATATGAGCTGCTTGAAATACTCACGCAATTTTAAATACTCAGTGCAATTATCCAAAGGCGTCAAGGTTTACCGTGTCACGCTTTCCATTGCCTTTCATACCCGTTTGGCAGAGAAGGATGCAGAGTAAGTAAGAGTAAGTTGATGGAGAAGTTGGACTGCTGCTGCTGCCCAACAACAAGGCATAGTCACTGAGAAACAGTCTGGACTGGACGAGCTCCATAGTCTGGTTGAAACATGCATCAACCATGACATGTATCAACCAATCAGCGAGCCTGACAACCCGATCCCATTAGTCGCCTCTTACGACAAGCAGAGTCGCTTTTTAGACAAGCATCGGTTGCTGAAGACCTATTCCACACCGGGTCTTCACGGGTCCCGTGTGTTTCAAATTTGTTTAACTGCCGTGCTATCATGTCCATGTATGCAAAACAAGTGGAACAAGACAATGTAGACTTTCCGACAAGTGTTGCTGAATTTACGATATCCAATGTAATTATATTACCATTAAACACATTGTGACATTAACAGGAAAAGCATGACTCTACACAAAGAGAAATTGCGCAATAGATTGACTGATCGTATGAATAGTATCACTCGTAACAGTGCTATCATTCCAGGAAAATGTGGGCTATCTATTTACAGGAAAAGGAAAAATATTGTTTTTTTTATTGTGCTTGTCGGCAACTGGTATTAATTTAGAAGTCTATATTTCGTAAATAATAAGTTACATATCTGACGCAACTCGTGAATTGTGTAGTTAGTTTTCCCCATCAGCATGGTACAGTTAAGACCACGAACACATGCACCCGGTGTCTAATCGTTGACATGGTCATGATCAGTTAGACCCCGAGACGCGGGGTCCGTGTGGCCCTACCTTCTAAACCATGGCTAAGATCCCAAGCATTTAAACAATGTCTTTTTAACATTATTTTGATGATTCTCATATATATTCTAAACGTCTATGTTTAACAACCTACCTTCGTTTAATGTACAGATTTTGAAATGTACAAAACGCAAAAACTCTGATTTTTACTATCCTATATTACTAAAATATAAGTGACAAAATTCATGTCCGTTACAATTCCCTGTTTTGACTTGTTCCGTTATGTTTCGTGTGGTTTTTTCGAGGTAAACAGTTGGGTTGCCTTTGCATGTGACTGGTGCCACCGTAGGGGCAGGATACGCCCACCTTTTCACAAACACCTGGTATCATCACATTAGATGGCAGAGGTTAATAAACATTTCATGACCGAGACATATCTGTTCCATGTGAAAGTAAAGTAACATTTGCATATACTTATTACAGACTTATCTAAGAACTGTCTAACGTCATGGCATGTAGTTGAATCAATAACCAAAAAATATCGGATGATGAACAAAGATAATTATTGGAATATGAATATTTTATTTCGGAAGGAATGTAAAAACGCATAATCACATATGTACAAAGCTTAGAGTAATAATAATTCATAACAAAGCAGATAAACTAAATATATTTATCAAACATGCTGATTGATCAGTTGGTAAATGAAATATTGTGAAATGTTATGGAATAAGGATTTACTGGAATGTGTATGATATGGAACAAATATGGAACACAATTTCAAACTTTAGAGAAATAATTACCAAAATAAAGTTTATATGTATACGTTCGCCTTTATAGAAACACTGGGTAGTCTCACACTGAATATACAGACGACTATTTTATTTCAAAGGAATGTGAAAAAACTTAGCATAATATTAATTAATAAACAAAGCAGGTAAACTAAATATAATTATCAAGCAAGCTGATTGATCAGGTGATAAACGAAACTTTGAAAAATCTGGTGGAATGGGGATTTACCACAAAGCCATTGAAAACACAATAGCTTTTGATGAGCGTACTTGTGAAAAGAGCAATTCCCTGAAACCTTTTCAAACATCATGAGATTTCTGTGAGAGATATGTGTCCCCTTGTGTCAGTTCGGGTTCGAACCACCTTGGAGCAATGAATCAGAAAGAGAAACGCAACTGTGCACACTGCACCGAAACACAATCACTGCTGCTGGACACATGCTGCACGTGGAAAGCTAGATCCCAGGTTCTTTAAAAGCACACACGAAAATGGTCATCCGTCACTTGTTCAATATGCCAAGACTCGACCAAGCCAGCAGGAACCAAGCGATCAGAATGCTGCAAGAAGGGGCAACTCAAGTGATTGTCGCCAGACATGTTAACGTCCATCCATGCAAGATAACTCGACTGCTGCATCCTTTCAACCATTTTTTACCTTTTGGTACTTTTGGGACCCGTCAACGCCGCTGTGTTTTGGAAAGGTGTCGCTTTGGAGGAGGCGGTACAATGGTATGGGAAGTACCATCAATTGTCGTTCCCACAGTCGGTGGTTATCCAAGGCAACCTCAATGTTCCAGATTATGTGAAAAATACCCTTCGCCTAGCACTATTGCCATTACTGGCTCAACATGGCGCCCTACACAAGCGTGTCTTCCAGCATGACAATGCACGTCCACGAGGTTCACGGGAGACTTTCTGAACAGGAACAACATCCTGCCATGTCACCTGACATGAATCCAATTGAACACTTATGGGACGAGCTTTGACACCAACCGCCTCAGACAGTAGCAGAGTTGACACAGTCCCTACAACATCAGGGGCGGTCAACAACGTTGTCAGTCCATGCCTCGGCGACTTCAGGATTACGTCAGTGTACATGGTGGACATACCTGTTATTGATCCCCGGTGGTCCCGGCTACGTTCTGAGCCTCTGTGACGTCATCCAACGGGCATGTTTCTTACGGACTTTATTGCTTACATTTCATGTGATGGGTGTGTTTGTCATTTTGGTTGGTTTCATTTGGTTTTCTTTCACTGTAATAAAATACGCACCTTCTGAACACTGAAGTGCGTTTTCAATGGCTTTGAGTATATATTGAACATGATACAGAGACATAATTTACAACATCAACTTTACATGATATACTTGATAAGTGCAAATACGCACTGACTGATCTTATACCTGCGAATAATGGTACTATATGCTGCAACAATCTGAAACACTAGCTTGTGTGTTGTCTCTAGGCGTTAATGTATGGATCATCTCCACTGACCGAGTTGACGTAGGAAGGCCCTTCACTTCTGTTTATGTGACCGTAGCTATGCTCGTCACCGTCTTCACTTGCATTACGTTGTATTACATTGTAGATATTTCTTTCAACATCATGGCTGAGGCCAGAATATGTGTTGGTGGTGCCACTGGTGGGAATATGGTCATCTTCTCCCTGGGATCTATTAGGGATGCTCTGCACACAATAACGAACTGACGTTTCAGGATTAGATGAATTACCGTGCGAGGTCCTGGATAGCTTGTTTACCATGCTGCAGCAATAGACGTTTTGCATATGATCATTGTATAATATTTACAAGGTTGCATATTGACTTCATAGCCAAGTGCCATAATATCACACGTATAAATCAAACAGTTTGATGTACTTACATATATATGATCAGCGGCACGATGACGAGACCCATGATACCACACACCACTGCTAAGGGTAAAACAATACTTCCATTGTCTGAAACGAGATACATGAAGTCATTAACGTGAAGATTTCTGCTTTTGTCTGTGCCATCATTGCACAACTTTGGCTTACAAACATACGAGCGCGTGTGTGTATACACACACACGTGCATGCACACTCTTAACCGAAATTATTTCAATATTTCGTATAGCAATGTCATTGGTTGTCGTTATTACATGTACATATAGATACCTGTGTGTGTTGATGACAGGGCTGTAGAGGTCAGGGATTTCATTGTGTCGGTTGATCCCGGAGCAGTAGTATAGGTAGTTCTTTCAGACAGTGTAGTGATGCCGTTGGATATCCGTAGCGTTGTCGCTATTGATGTAGTTAGTGAATCTGTATGGTAAATGAAACACAATGAGTGATTTCCTCTGTGGTTAGTATGCATAGCCGTCGTAGGGATTCCGGAAAGGAATACACGAGGTTCCCAGAAACCGTGGCTGGTCTTAAGAGGCGTCCAAATGGATCGGGGTGGTTAGGCCCGGTGACTTGGTTGATTGTGTATCTACGTACCCTGATGGCGTGGATCGTTGCTCACAAATAACAATCACTGGATTGTCTGGTCCAGTTTCGATCACTTACAAACCGCCATCGTATAGCTGCAATAATAGTGCTTCAAACAAACACACACAGAGCAAATGAAACTATTTTTTCGACCTCTTACAAAACAGGAACAATAGATAGGGATAGAAGTCCAGCTCTCGTCACTAATTAAACATGGGACAAGTCATTTCATTCATTCAGGCTCTCTGATCACACCTTCTGGAGTAGTGCTGTAATGATGTTTTAACGTATTCTACAGGACAGTGTGTGTAAGCTATTACATGTTCTAGTAATTAGAAACAGACAAAAAAAACTCAAGGTAATAAGACTGTTGCCATCGGCCACATTAGTCTTCTCAAATGCGTGTCATCATAAATGTTCATACTCATACCCACACAAATATAATGGCTATCCAACTGATCACCGTTGAGCAGGGTCATGAAACATCGTCATCAGGTGACACTCACCCATAGATGTCAAAGGTGTACTTGTTGTTGTGGCTGCAGTGGTCAGTGTGTCCAAAGTACTTGGACTTGTTGTACCTTGTGAACGTGATGGCGCCTGTGGCGTGGGTACTGGGGTGGTTGATGCATCCAATGGTTGTCGCCTGGAAGTTATGTTCATTTGGCCTGAAGCTGTGAACAAAAATTTGTGTAGCAGTCTCTAGGTCCGAGTTCCATGTTGATTTGAAATAAGTGATGCGACTTCTGGACACGGGGGAAACTAGCTGACCATAGAGTCGTAGGTCATTTATTTACTGAGGAACTTGTTACCATACAAATAACTGTGAATACAGTCCAATATATGTTGAAACCTACTGCACGCCAGTGAATTCATCATATTTTCTTAGTATATTACGGAAAATTGTTAAAAGATGGTTTCTCTTCATTATGGCTACACTGTACTTTTCTTTTGATGGAACCAGCAGTTCTGGAGAGGATGTCACTATTGTATTTTTCAATATAATACATTGAACAAATCAGAAACTATGTATGTTTTATTGTCAGAATAGATTGGTTCATGAAAGGAACTTTACCATTAAATTGATGGCACTGGACTGACTGAAGGTAGATTGAAATAATTACATGTTTTCTCGGAAAGCGTGGCAAAATTCAAATCAAGACCGGCGTCAGATTCTATTTGTAAATTTATTGATCAATTGATGGTTATCATATAAGGAGACACGTCAAAAGATAAAATTGATTTATACACTCATACATACCATCAACACGTATCCATACATATGACCCATTCTGATCATGGTTGTCGTAGACTATTACTATTTCGGCAGCTGTTCCCGGCAACACCCTGTTGTATTGGTCCAAGTTGAAGCTTATCCAGAGTTGTTTCCCGTCACCTGAGATAATAAGCAACCCTGCCTTCATCCGCTCGTCTACCAATGTTACTCGTAAATTCTGCCCTGTGATCCTAACAACACAGCTGCCGTTCACACCGACACTGCTAGGGAAGCCAGGGGAATGGAGGTACACCGACCCGTTTACTGACAGTGTTGTGCTGACTGAACCACAGATATCCATACTACCTGAAACACAATGCATATTACAAGTAGAACAACTTATAAGTTGGGATTGAAATAAGTGACATATTGTATCATAACAGGTCACATCAAGCAAATTGCTCCCATGTATTCTTGATTTTGTTTTGACGCACGGTTGATCAAGGCTGAAATGAAGCTGAAACTCAAGAACAATCACTCATGAATCACTGGAAATGGTGTAGCATTATTACCAAGGTGACACTAAGGTCATGATGCAGGGGACAGTTGACAGTTGTAGTTCTAGTCAGTTGGCATGAGCGTCTAGTCATGCCCTAGTCAGGAGGTTTAATCAGTTTGCAGTATCCTTTGGGTGTTAATTACAAAACATTTACTATAAATTAATGGCAATGGTGGTGAAAGTTGTTATGAAAGCAGTCCAGTATTCGTACACGCTTGTTGTTTTGTTATGTCATCAATCACAAACAGACGTCGGTGCAATTAAACACTTACTAAGTAAGATAATAATAATAATAATAATAATAATAATAATAATAATAATAATAATCTGTGTAAGTTTCTGTAAAGTGATGCCTGTTACCACATTTGTATCTCATACGTACATGTAACTATGGAAGAAACTAGAATTGTGATGATGCGAAATAATCAACACACGATAAGTTCGATATTGTCCCATGTGATCACTTAATTTTTATATCCTAAAAGCCTGACACGATGGATGTTTTAAATATAATTACATTTTTGCCTCAATCAGTTGTGAAATCGTGGTGGTAGCCTCAAGGAACTACACGCTCACCTCCAGATGTGAAGTCATGGACGACGTTTTCGATCCGATACAATCCAGACATGCATAACCAGTAACAGTTAAAATTATCGCATCGTGCTTGATACGTTGAACCGCGAATCCTTGATAACACAGGTGTTAATTCTCTACAGAAAATATACACTTGTTTGTTCCGTTTACTGACTTGCAATACATGTGCGTGTTCTGTATGTCAGTTACATGTCGTCATGTTCCGATCTCCAAGCAGACACTCCATCCACGAGACCATGGAGCTAGTCCATCATAAGGCTCATCAGTAAGTCTTGCAATGACATCAACAGGCTAACATACCATGTTAGTCTTACATTATTCCTGCAGTGTCTCGCAGCAAAATTAACAAGTTATCAGATGTATGTTTGTTTGTTGTTTAACGCCGCACCCAAGATCAGCAATATTATATTTAAATGACGGCGAACTGCAAATAGTTTGGGACAGACAATCCAATGATTTACATCGTAAGAATCGGACAATGCAATTGAGATACGATGGCCTAAAATCAACCAAGTCACTGATTTGTAAGCCTGGCCACTTGATCCTGTTAGTCACCGCTTAATTGCTGAAGACCAATTCTAATGATGATAGGTTCTTAGGATGCGACTGGATCAACCGTATGCCCCTATTATAATATGATATATTATAAGACATCAGGCTAGAGGTTGCCAAAACAACAATGCACGTCATCACCCTTATATGTCGTTATACGTTTACGCACTATGATTAATCTTATATTAATCTCACTTACACTCTGTCGCATCAGACTGTATAATAGAGCCAAGTAGTATTTTTTTCTGATTTTAATCAAACCTAAATGTAACACATATATTTGTAAAATATGTTGACAAAAATATTTTTGTGCATTATGCCAAAGCATGGTGTGCGCAGGAATGCACTGTATCCGATAATCTGGAAACGCTAAATAATGTTCCAGCTTTACAACATCCTGTACATTACGGAATCTTGATCGGGCAAACCAGTGCACGATAACACGAGCAACGTGCCAAGATGTAGAGTAGGATGACAGTTTGTTAGACAGAACAACACTTTGTAACCATCCTATCATTGCGATTTGTATGGGTGTTAGTGTGTTCTACTCCAGGAACCACCATGCAGGAAAATACATGCTTCAATGAATGTATTGTGCGATGTGCAGACAATAACAAGACTTGCATTTATGCATTTATGACTATTGGGTTTATATCTAAAATCATGCATGTGGGTTTAATTGAATCAGAAAGTGATATTACTGAAAACAACGCATGTTGATTGCGTCGAGCAAGAACTAAACGAAGTGTCACCTATGATACAGCTGTAGTTTACTTCAGCAGCATCTGTGAAGTTACAGTTTGTTTGGGGTGTTGCGGACATGACTTCACGGCACGACTGTTTCCCATTACAGTTGACGATCAGGCCAGTTTGGCTGCTGTTGTGAACCTTACTACACGACTCTGTTGATTTCAGACGACATGTCGCGGCGTCTCCATCCCCATACGCCTCTTGCTCGACATGTATCCATTCACCGGCAGAACACTGAAGCTGTATTGTGAAGGTTCCCCACAACCCCTCTATACATCTGTTCCCAGTTCTGGTGTCACCTTTGAATATAAAGTAACTCGTTCACTGTCAAATATACTTCTCTAAATATTATCGAAAGGTTTTTACGTCAGCCTCAGGTACATACCACATTGAAACAAAAATGCTAGCGGCAATCAACATTGATCTGGAAGTGACAGGTGCATGAATGTAGTTATGACAATTGTCAATGTAATACTGTGTGTCGAAAATGAGACACTACAGAGGAAATCATGATGTTTGATTATGTAACTGTTGAGTCGTTCATTATCGCATTCCATTTATCACTAGACATTACGTGTATTTATGTATTTTGCTGACAACTAAATTATACAAACGAATCCCGTGACATTTTACATAAGTGGTGTCATGACTGACATTTCTTCATCTTAGTCTGATATAGGCTATTGAATCAATATTGTAGTAATGGTCTCAAATCTATCAGAAATTGTATTGCGTAAATAAAATTATTGATGCGAATTTCAATATCTGATAGACTGTTTTGAGATACATGTAACTTTATGCTGTTTGATACCACCTTATGTTTCCTTGACAAATCGTCTAGCAACACTAGAAAGTGTAAATGCATGTGCGCTGTTACATTCAGTGACATCAGGGGAGTTGAACATTTAAGCTGTTGTGTTTTTGCATGTGTGTACTTTTAGTCACAACAAATCACAAGTACCAAGATCAAATGTCAACCATTGTCGCAATTTCCCGATTTCACTCAAAGATTAGTAAGCAAACACGTCCGGGAGTGACACTTTTAACATATTGAACTCTGATGAAAATGCAGTTGCCAACACGAACAATCTTGGTACACGTACTGAAGTTCACAAACCAATGGAAAGTCTATCTGCCTATTTACTCACCGTGTGCAGCCAATAAGAAATACACAGAAGCCATAAACACTCTTTCAGTATGCATAGTTGTTAAATGTCAGTCATCAGAAGCACACAGCATCTTTTCTGTATGTCCGCGGATACACAACAGGTCGACTCTATTCAGGCATTACATGTCGTAAAACGGTTGTGTTCCTATTCTGTATGTAGCAAGTCCCCTCTCGGAAAGTCCCGCACCTTGAATCACAGACAATGTAAACAGCTTCACTTCTGAACACTTCAAACCTGTTAGCACGTAATCACTATATATATATACACATACTAAGTATATATACAAGGAAACATGTCCAAACTCTGTTCAGAACAGCCTCCGATAATATAACACATGAAAACTACAAGTGTGTATGATTATTTTCCGTATATATATATAATCGTCCCGTATTGTGCTACTGGGGGCACGTCTGAATAGAGTACTGACACACATCTACGTAAACATTCATATGACCAGTGTTATATTATCGGCGGCATTCTGTGGGCAATTGTCCTGGGGCAGAAGACCAGCCGTCGGTAACCTCTGAATCAGAACATTCGATCTCTACCTTATCGAACCAATATCTGACGATATGATTAACCATTGGCGATTGATATGTGCTGCTTAAAACATTTACGCCATTTTGAAATTATTATAATAAAATTCATTGATTCAAAATGTCCTTTTATACGACATATATATGTCGCAAATGTTAGACATACATTAATGTGGTGACATGACCGTTGGGTTCCTTGTAAACAATCCTTAACATTTAAGTTTAATTTCCTGGATTTCCGTAAAATTATGACCGTGTGTTTCTCATTTCTTTTACTGTCAAGGTATCGTGTCCAAGTATACAAAACGAGTGGAACAAGATAATGCTGACTTTCTGACAAATGTTGCTCAAGTTACGATATTCAATGCAACATTGACATTACACACATTGTAACATTTACAGGAAAAGCACGAAACTCCACAAAGAGAAAGTTCGTAACAAATAGCATGATCGCATGAATAGTATCACTCATCAAGGTGTTATCATAACAGGAAAATGTTTGCTATGTATTTACATATTAATATAAACGTGACTTCAGGAAAAGTATTGCTTTATGTCATAGTTATTTATCCACACATGTTGTTGTTATCGCGCTTGTACACCACGTCTGCATGCCGGCATCTGATATCAGTTTAGCAGTCTTTATTTCGTAAATAACGAATTCTAAATCTGGTCACAAATCATTTACATGGACGCGACTTTGTGAATTATGTAGTTAGTTTCTCTCATCAGCATGAGTACAGCTAAAACCACGAGCCCCCGGTGTCTAATCGTTCATATTGTCAGTTAGACCCCGAGATTATGGGTCCGAGTGGCCTTACCTTCAAACACTTAATCAATGTCCTTTAAACATTCTGTTGATGACCCTCTTCCAAACGATGCACATTTAAAACCTCTTTGTTTGACAACCAACGTTCGTTCAATGAAGAGATTGAAAAATATACAAAACACAAATACTACCATTTATAAACGGATAAAATATTTGTCATGGTGACAGTGAAAATACTTATATATAGCTTTCATAGAATGTCGGAGACAAAAATGATGTCCCATGCAATTCTCTATTTTGACTTGTACCTTTAAGTTCCCGTGTTCTGATAGACGGCGGGATACGCCTCCCTTTTCGAGAACACCTGGTATCCTCACTGCTTGAAAGTGATTCAAAAACCCATGCCTATGATGTAGTCGGAATCGCACAAAAGTAGACTTTTAGTACAGATTTGTAAGGGTTGTTTTTATGTCTGTGTTTATATCAGCTGATGGCGCATAAAACACACGTTTTAAATCATATAAACTGGTGACATAAAACAATACACATTTCATCATCGAGACATATCTGTTTCGTGTGAAAGCAATGACACATTAGAATATACTTACAATTGAGACCTATCTAACGTTACGACATGTAGTTGAAAGATCAATAATTGATGATGAACAAAGATGATACACAGGAAAATGAAAATTGTATTTTGAAAGGAGTGCAAAAAACACAAAACCACATATGTTCAAAGCTTAGAGTGTTAATAATTCATAACAAAGAAGATGTGTAATGTGTATAATATGGAAAATGGAACATATATTCAAAGTTAAGAGAAATAAATAACAAAATAAGGTTTATTTGTTATACTTTATATGTACATATTCCCCCTTATAAAGAAGACTGGCTGATCTCAAAGTGATTATAGAGCTACAAGAGCCTAAAGCACAAGCTTGTGTGCTGTCTCTAGGTGTTAACATATGGACCAACTCCACTTCCAGAGTTAACATAGGAAGGTTCTTGTCTACTGGTAATGCGACCGTAGCTATGTTCGTCACCATCGTCACTGGCATTACGTTGCATTCCATCGTAGACATTCGTCTCATTGTAATGGCTGAGGCCAGAATATGTGTTGGTGGTGCCACTGGTGCCACTGATGGGAGTAAGGTCATTTGTCCCTGGGATCCACTGGGGATGGTTTGCATACCAAGATGAGTTGACGTTTCAGTATAATTAGATGTGTCACCGTGCATATCCGTCCTGGATAGCTTGTTTACCATGCTGCAGGGACAAACGTTTAGTGTACTGTTATTGTATAATTTTCACTATCATAAGGTTATATTTTGACTTCTCTCGAAGTGTCATATAGTTTCTCATGAAACAGTTACTTACATATATATGATGAGCGCCATGCCCACTATGATGAGAACCAGGACACCACACACCACTGCTAAGGGTAACACAATACTTCCATTGTCTGAAACGGAATACGTGAAGACTTTAACTTGAAGATTTATACTGGTCTCTCTGCGTTACATGCGCAACACGGACTTACACGCACACTTACTCACAATTATTTTAATATTTCTCGTAAAACAATGTCATTGGTTGCCGTTATTGCATGTACATATAGATAGCTGTGTCAGAGAATCATATAACCAGTTTCAAGGCCTGTTATTTATATGTTCATAGAACGTCAGATCAAACACGAACAATTAAAAAACTAGGGACATAACTGGTTGGATGCGAAATTGTTGTTTGTTGTTTCAAGCCGTATTACGCCGTATTTCACTCTGTCAGCTATATGACGGCGGTCTGTAAATAATCGAGTCTGGACCAGATAGCCCAGTGATTGACATCATGCGTATCAATTCACGCTATTGGGATACGATGTCATGCATCAACCAAGTCAGCGAGCCTGACCACTCCATCCCGTTAGTCGCCTCTTACGACAAACATAGTCGCCTTTTACTAAAGCATGGAAGTACTATAAACAACTGTATTATCAGAAATATACACGCATCTATTCTAGAGTTCTAGATTCAATAACAGATGTGATGATAAACACAAGTAAAGATGTATTAGAATTATATATAGACATAACGCATGAAGAGGATGTAACAGATATTCAGGTATGCAAAGTGGAAAGGCTCCAGGCTTCAGTGGTATAGCTATAGAATTCTTTAAATATGCACCAAAGGTATGCATATCCAAAATAGTGGTCATTTGGGGGTTAATTTGCCTCTTCACAAGAAAGGTGTTGTTAATAAACCTGAGAACTATAGGCCAATAACCTTGTTAGAAGTATCAAAGTTTGTATTTCTTGCTATGAAAATGCGATGTAAACAACTAAGTTTACTGTAAAGAGCAAAATGGCGCTATTACGAAACAAACATCAATGTATCATCAATGCATGTCATCACAAATGACATACTCATACCCACATTCAGTCAGGCTCTCTGATCAGACCTTCTGGAGAAGTGCTGTACTGATGTTTTAACGTATTCTACAGGACAGTCTATTTAAACTATTACATGTTCTAGTAATTAGATACAGACAGGAAAACTCAAGGTAATAACACTGTTGCCATCGACCATACTAGTCTTCTCAAATGCGTGTCATCACAAACGTTCATACTCATACCCACACAAATATAATGATAATCAAACTGAACACCGTTGACCGGGGTCATGAAACATCGTCATCAAGTGACACTCACCTTGTGTACCTTGTGGACCTTGTGGACCTTGTGTACTTTGTGTACCTTGTGGACCTTGTGAACGTGATGGCGCCTGTGTTGGCGTGGGTGAAGGGGTGGTTGATGCATCCCATGTTTGTCTCTTGAAAGTTATGTTCATTTGACCTGAAGCTGTGAACAATCATTTCTGTTCATACTCATGCAGGTAATGACACCACAATAATATGTTAAATTATATTATTCTTGCATGTTCATATATGTTCTAGTAATTAGATATCAGTATGAAAACTCAAGGAAATAACACTGTAGCCAGTAACCACACTTGTCAAATTCATGTTATCACAAACGTTCATACTCATACCCACATAAATATAATGGTAATCCAACTGATCACCGTTGACCAGGGTCATGAAACATCGTTATCAGGTGACGCTCACCCATAGAAGTCAAAGGCGTAGTTGCTGTTGCTGCAGTGATCGTCAGTGTGTCCAAAGTACTCGGTCTGGTTGTACCTTGTGAACGTGATGGCTGCTGTGTTGGCGTGGGTGATAGGGTGGTTGATACATCCAATGTTTGTCGCCTAGAAGTTATGTTCATTTGACCTGAAGCTGTGAACAATCATTTCTGTAGCAGTCTCTAGGTTCGAGTTCCATATTGATCTTAAAAAGGTGATGCGACTCCTGGGCATTGGGGGAAAGTAGATGACCATTGGGCCGTAGGTAATTTAATCAGTTTTTGAGGAACTTGTTACCATACGATGAACTGTGAATACAGTAAAATATATGCTGAAACCTAATCCATACCAGTCACGTCAAATGTCATCAAATTAGATGTTTGTGGCTTCACTGCACCTTTCTTTTGATTGAACCAACATGTCTGGAGAGGCGGTCGCAATTGTATTTTTCAATATAATACATTGAACAAATCAGAAGCTTTATTTATTTTACTGTCAGGATAGATTGGTTCATGAAAGGAACTTCATCAATAAAAGGGATCACACTAGACTGACTGAAGGTAGATTGTAATAATTATATATATTTTCTCGGAAAGCGAGGCAAAATTCAATTCACGATCGGCATCAGATTCGATTTGCTAATTGATTGATAAATTGATAGTTATCAATCAGGAGACACGTCAAAAGATAAATTTGATTTATAACCTCACACATACCATCAACACATATCCATAGATTTGCACCAGCCTGATCATGGTTGTCATAGACTATTACTACTTCTGCAGCTGTTCCAGGTAATACCCTGTTGTATTGGGACACGTACACGCTTTCCCAGAGTTGTTTCCCGTCACCTGAGATGTTAACTAGCCCTTGTCTCATCCGCTCTTCTACCAATGTTACTCGTATACCCATTCCTTTGATCCTGACAGCACAGCGTCTGTTCACAGCGACACTGTTAGGGTAGCTCGGGGAATTGAGGTACAAGGACGCCCCTACTGTTGTTCTGACAGTACCTAAACTACACATATTCATACTACCTGAAACACAATGTATATAACATGTTGAACAATGTATATCTTTTGATTCAAATTAGCGACATATTGTATGGTTCATATCAAACAAATTGCTCTCACACAAACGTGAATTTGTGCTCGCGTCCATTTGATCAAGGCAGAAATGAACTTGAAGCTCAAATCAAGAACCAACATTCATACATGTAAATGTTATAGCATTATTACCAGGGAAAGGAGTTTCCATCTTACTGGTAGCACCAAGGTCATGATCCAGTTGACAGTTGGCATGCACTTTTAGTTGGTCAGTTAATTTGCAGTATCCTTTGGATGGTAATTACAAAACATACGCTATAATTTATTGCAATGTTGGCGAAAGATGCGATGACGGCAGTCCAGCATTCGTACGCACTGTTGTTTTGCTTTGTAATTTATCACAAACAGAAGATGGTTCAAGTAAACTTTAGCAAGGTTACATAGTGTGGTACAAATACACGTGTAACCTTGGCATGTCAATATGCATTGATGAATACTGAAACGAACAATATTTCGTTCGCAAGACTGACACTGTTATGAGGATGTCTATATACTACTACTACTACAAGTAATAATAATTTTAGATATCGTCCCATGTTTCATACATGAAACAAATGACGCAATATATTGTCTTGTGTTCTTTTGCCTGTTAATCAGGCATTATTATGGATGTTTTAAAGGTAATAACATGTTGGGCTCAAACAGTCATGAAATCTTGGTGGTGGCCACAAGCTACTAATCGTTTACCTCTAGATGTGAAGTCAAGGACAACGTTTCAAATACGATAATATCAACATAAGATCAGCATAATGAGAACCGCGATTCCTTATATCACAAGTGTCAATTCTCTACTTATTTGTTATTTTTACTGATTATTTTCTCAATACATGTGTATATACTTATGTCAGTAACTTGTTGTCATGTTCTGATCACCAGCAGACGCTCTATCCACTAGACCACGGAGGCGCACCGTCTAGTAATGTAGTATTTTTCCATCTATATGACGCTGATCTGCAAGAAATAGAGTCTTGACCAGACAATCCAGAGAGTGCCATCGTAAGCATGGATCCACTCATGATCAATTGGGATACGATGGCCTTCATCAACCGAGTCAGCGAGTCTGACCACTCGATCCCTTTAAGCCTCAGTCACACAGACAATGCGACCGCGATGCAACCTCCTGGTGGCGAAAATATTTGACAATCGCAATAAGGTTTCAGGGGTTTCACTGAGGTCGCTACAATGTTTCAGAGCAGTCGCAAAACCCATTCGGTCGCAACCAGTCTTTTGACTATTTGGGGTAAATTTCTAAAATCATTCATGTGTTTTTTTTCCAGTAACTCATCATTAAAAGCAAACCATGCTGATAGTGTCAGTTTGACCAGATACTAAATGTGCGTCTCACCTTTAATGCAGGTATAAATTACTTCAGTAGCATCTGTGTAGTTACAGTTTGTAAGGGGTCCTGCAGTCAAGGCTTCACGGCATGACTGTTTCCCATTACAGTTGACGATTAGGCCATTTTGGCTGCTGGTGTGGACCTGACTACACGTCTCTGCTGATTTCAGACGACATGTCAGGGCGTCTCCATCCCCATACGCCTCTTGCTCGACATGTATCCGTTCACCGGCAGAGCACTGAAGCTGTTTTGTGAAGGTTCCCGACAACCCCTCTATACATCTGTTCCCAGTTCTGGTGTAACCTTATATACATATATATATAACACTTATATATTTATTTATTATAACTCGATCACAGTCGAATATACTTCGTTAAATATAATGTAAAACATTTTACTGCAGTCGCAGGTAAATTGAGTGAGAGGTGCATTAATGTATTGATGACCTATGGAAATGTTATTCTGTATCAAATAACACATTACTCATGAAATGGTATCAATACAAAACATGTAACATTTAAGTCGAGTCTTATAATTAGCAGCTTTCATCCTCAAAATTACATTATAGATCATGCTGATCAGTAAACCAGGCAAACGAATTTCGTATGTTGCACTTAAAAATTACGCAAGTCTTTGTCTGATATAGCCTATTGCATGAATGCTGCAGAAAGTTGTAATGTCTCA